GATACAGATTCACCTTTGTGATGGCTTGTATTCCAGGTACATGAAAGCTATCAGGGGAGTTATGGGGCCCAAGTGTATCACAAATTACTAACAGTATGAAGATAGACACAGATTCACCTTTGTGATGGCTTGTATTCCAGGTACATGAAAGCTATTAGGGGAGTCATGGGGCCCAAGTGTATCACAAATTACTGACAGTATGAAGGTAGATACAGATTCACCTTTGTGATGGCTTGTATTCCAGGTACATGAAAACTATCATGGGGCCCAAGTGTATCACAAATTACTAACAGTATGAAGATAGATACAGATTCACCTTTGTGATGGCTTGTATTCCAGGTACATGAAAGCTATGAGGGGAGTTATGGGGCCCAAGTGTATCACAAATTACTAACAGTATGAAGATAGATACAGATTCACCTTTGTGATGGCTTGTATTCCAGGTACATGAAAGCTATCAGGGGAGTTATGGGGCCCAAGTGTATCACAAATTACTGACAGTATGAAGGTAGATACAGATTCACCTTTGTGATGGCTTGTATTCCAGGTACATGAAAGCTATGAGAGAAGTTATGGGGCTCAGGTGTATCACAAATTACTAACAGTATGAAGATAGATACAGATTCACCTTTGTGATGGCTTGTATTCCAGGTACATGAAAGCTATCAGGGAGTTATGGGGCCCAAGTGTATCACAAATTACTAACAGTATGAAGATAGACACAGATTCACCTTTGTGATGGCTTGTATTCCAGCTACATGAAAGCTATCAGGGGAGTCATGGGGCCCAAGTGTATCACAAATTACTAACAGTATGAAGATAGATACAGATTCACCTTTGTGATGACTTACAATCTAGGTACATGAAAGCTATGAGGGGAGTTATGGGGCTCAAGTGTATCACAAATTACTAACAGTATGAAGATAGATACAGATTCACCTTTGTGATGACTTACAATCTAGGTACATGAAAGCTGTCAGGGGAGTTATGGGGCTCAAGTGTATCACAAATTACTAACAGTATGAAGATAGATACAGATTCACCTTTGTGATGGCTTGTATTCCAGGTACATGAAAGCTATCAGGGGAGTTATGGGGCTCAAGTGTATCACAAATTACTAACAGTATGAAGATAGATACAGATTCACCTTTGTGATGGCTTGTATTCCAGGTACATGAAAGCTATCAGGGGAGTTATGGGGCCCAAGTGTATCACAAATTACTAACAGTATGAAGATAGACACAGATTCACCTTTGTGATGGCTTGTATTCCAGGTACATGAAAGCTATTAGGGGAGTCATGGGGCCCAAGTGTATCACAAATTACTGACAGTATGAAGGTAGATACAGATTCACCTTTGTGATGGCTTGTATTCCAGGTACATGAAAACTATCATGGGGCCCAAGTGTATCACAAATTACTAACAGTATGAAGATAGATACAGATTCACCTTTGTGATGGCTTGTATTCCAGGTACATGAAAGCTATGAGGGGAGTTATGGGGCCCAAGTGTATCACAAATTACTAACAGTATGAAGATAGATACAGATTCACCTTTGTGATGGCTTGTATTCCAGGTACATGAAAGCTATCAGGGGAGTTATGGGGCCCAAGTGTATCACAAATTACTGACAGTATGAAGGTAGATACAGATTCACCTTTGTGATGGCTTGTATTCCAGGTACATGAAAGTTATGAGGGGAGTTATGGGGCTCAAGTGTATCACAAATTACTAACAGTATGAAGGTAGATACAGATTCACCTTTGTGATGGCTTGTAATCCAGGTACATGAAAGCTATCAGGGGAGTCATGGGGCCCAAGTGTATCACAAATTACTAACAGTATGAAGATAGATACAGATTCACCTTTGTGATGGCTTGTATTCCAGGTGCATGAAAGCTATGAGAGAAGTTATGGGGCTCAGGTGTATCACAAATTACTAACAGTATGAAGATAGATACAGATTCACCTTTGTGATGGCTTGTATTCCAGGTACATGAAAGCTATCAGGGGAGTTATGGGGCCCAAGTGTATCACAAATTACTAACAGTATGAAGATAGACACAGATTCACCTTTGTGATGGCTTGTATTCCAGGTACATGAAAGCTATCAGGGGAGTCATGGGGCCCAAGTGTATCACAAATTACTAACAGTATGAAGATAGATACAGATTCACCTTTGTGATGGCTTGTATTCCAGGTACATGAAAGCTATGAGAGAAGTTATGGGGCTCAAGTGTATCACAAATTACTAACAGTATGAAGATAGATACAGATTCACCTTTGTGATGGCTCGTATTCCAGGTACATGAAAGCTATCAGGGGAGTTATGGGGCTCAAGTGTATCACAAATTACTAACAGTATGAAGATAGACACAGATTCACCTTTGTGATGGCTTGTATTCCAGGTACATGAAAGCTATCAGGGGAGTTATGGGGCCCAAGTGTATCACAAATTACTAACAGTATGAAGATAGACACAGATTCACCTTTGTGATGGCTTGTATTCCAGCTACATGAAAGCTATCAGGGGAGTCATGGGGCCCAAGTGTATCACAAATTACTAACAGTATGAAGATAGATACAGATTCACCTTTGTGATGACTTACAATCTAGGTACATGAAAGCTATGAGGGGAGTTATGGGGCTCAAGTGTATCACAAATTACTAACAGTATGAAGATAGATACAGATTCACCTTTGTGATGACTTACAATCTAGGTACATGAAAGCTGTCAGGGGAGTTATGGGGCTCAAGTGTATCACAAATTACTAACAGTATGAAGATAGATACAGATTCACCCCTGTGATGGCTTGTATTCCAGGTACATGAAAGCTTTGAGAGAAGTTATGGGGCTGAAGTGTATCACAAATTACTAACAGTATGAAGATAGATACAGATTCACCTTTGTGATGGCTTGTATTCCAGGTACATGAAAGCTATGAGGGGAGTTATGGAGCTCAAGTGTATCACAAATTACTAACAGTATGAAGATAGATACAGATTCACCTTTGTGATGACTTACAATCTAGGTACATGAAAGCTGTCAGGGGAGTTATGGGGCTCAAGTGTATCACAAATTACTAACAGTATGAAGATAGATACAGATTCACCTTTGTGATGGCTTGTATTCCAGGTACATGAAAGCTATCAGGGGAGTTATGGGGCCCAAGTGTATCACAAATTACTAACAGTATGAAGATAGATACAGATTCACCTTTGTGATGGCTTGTATTCCAGGTACATGAAAGCTATGAGAGAAGTTATGGGGCTCAAGTGTATCACAAATTACTAACAGTATGAAGATAGATACAGATTCACCTTTGTGATGGCTTGTATTCCAGGTACATGAAAGCTATCAGGGGAGTTATGGGGCTCAAGTGTATCACAAATTACTAACAGTATGAAGATAGATACAGATTCACCTTTGTAATGGCTTGTATTCCAGGTACATGAAAGCTATCAGGGGAGTTATGGGGCCCAAGTGTATCACAAATTACTAACAGTATGAAGATAGACACAGATTCACCTTTGTGATGGCTTGTAATCCAGGTACATGAAAGCTATCAGGGGAGTCATGGGGCCCAAGTGTACCACAAATTACTAACAGTATGAAGATAGATACAGATTCACCTTTGTGATGGCTTACAATCTAGGTACATGAAAGCTATGAGGGGAGTTATGGGGCTCAAGTGTATCACAAATTACTAACAGTATGAAGATAGATACAGATTCACCCCTGTGATGGCTTGTATTCCAGGTACATGAAAGCTTTGAGAGAAGTTATGGGGCTGAAGTGTATCACAAATTACTAACAGTATGAAGATAGATACAGATTCACCTTTGTGATGGCTTGTATTCCAGGTACATGAAAGCTATCAGGGGAGTTATGGGGCCCAAGTGTATCACAAATTACTAACAGTATGAAGATAGATACAGATTCACCTTTGTGATGACTTACAATCTAGGTACATGAAAGCTATGAGAGAAGTTATGGGGCTCAAGTGTATCACAAATTACTAACAGTATGAAGATAGATACAGATTCACCTTTGTGATGGCTTGTATTCCAGGTACATGAAAGCTATCAGGGGAGTTATGGGGCTCAAGTGTATCACAAATTACTAACAGTATGAAGATAGATACAGATTCACCTTTGTGATGGCTTGTATTCCAGGTACATGAAAGCTATCAGGGGAGTTATGGGGCCTAAGTGTATCACAAATTACTAACAGTATGAAGATAGACACAGATTCACCTTTGTGATGGCTTGTATTCCAGGTACATGAAAGCTATTAGGGGAGTCATGGGGCCCAAGTGTATCACAAATTACTGACAGTATGAAGGTAGATACAGATTCACCTTTGTGATGGCTTGTATTCCAGGTACATGAAAACTATCATGGGGCCCAAGTGTATCACAAATTACTAACAGTATGAAGATAGATACAGATTCACCTTTGTGATGGCTTGTATTCCAGGTACATGAAAGCTATGAGGGGAGTTATGGGGCCCAAGTGTATCACAAATTACTAACAGTATGAAGATAGATACAGATTCACCTTTGTGATGGCTTGTATTCCAGGTACATGAAAGCTATCAGGGGAGTTATGGGGCCCAAGTGTATCACAAATTACTAACAGTATGAAGATAGACACAGATTCACCTTTGTGATGGCTTGTATTCCAGGTACATGAAAGCTATGAGGGGAGTCATGGGGCCCAAGTGTATCACAAATTACTGACAGTATGAAGATAGATACAGATTCACCTTTCTGATGACTTACAATCTAGGTACATGAAAGCTGTCAGGGGAGTTATGGGGCCCAAGTGTATCACAAATTACTAACAGTATGAAGATAGATACAGATTCACCTTTGTGATGACTTACAATCTAGGTACATGGAAGCTGTCAGGGGAGTTATGGGGCCCAAGTGTATCACAAATTACTAACAGTATGAAGATAGACACAGATTCACCTTTGTGATGGCTTGTATTCCAGGTACATGAAAGCTGTCAGGGGAGTTATGGGGCCCAAGTGTATCACAATGCTGGAGTTTCCCAAGAAAGGAGGTTCAGGTAAAAGGGCCTGTCCGTAACAGGTTTCAATTCCATGGGCTGTTGAAATCCTTATCCTCTTGACCAGTCACTGACCATATACACTTAAGAATGACGAGGGCAGAATTTGGCAGCATTTTACAAAGTAAAAGCTCTGTTATACTTATCGTATTGCTTTGAAACGATTGTTATCATGCCACTTCTTGTTTCGGGCATATTACACAGCCAGTTTCAGAACACCCAAGGTACATTCTAGATCTAACTAGTATAAATAGACTAACATATATATTTTGAAAGTTTCACAAAGAAAACAAGTGACTGTGTTCTGAATGTAACTGATGGTCTTACAGACATATGTGTCCTTCATTGCAGGGGCTCCCTATCACTTCAGTGAAGGACAGTTGAAGGAATTATACGGTAAATCCCTTTCCATACGATTGTGTTGCAATAGTAACACCGGATCCATTCGTCTAAGGCGTTGTTATTCGCAAAGTAGAGTTGCGTTTCTTAAGCGTGCCCGAATCATTTGATCATGGGTTCGAATCCGAGGTTGCCATGACTTTTTCTTTGCATCTACTCAGTGCTTGTGGGTATTGACAAAGCGGCATTCTATAAAAGACCTGCTTCGCCTCCGTCTGTCCCACTACACAAAGCCGACAAGCTATTCAAAACGTGTCCAGCACGTTTTATGTCAGGTCCTGACATCACTGTTTGTGATATGTCCGTTCTAGGGTTGGCTATCCATATAGATCGTAGAGATCGAAAATCGTTACTAAATATCGATCGATTATCGATGAATATCGGAGACGTAATTTTCAGCAAAAATGCCCCAAAAAAGTCTGAAGGTAATCACCATATTCCACAGTCATTTTAGCCGGCCCTACTCTGTACACATCACTTCTTTATTAGGAATATGTCTTACACTGCCTTCATCATCGTTATTACCGATTAAACTGCATATGTGTGACTCCATATATTGTATCACAACATCAGTGTTTCGGTGAGTATTGCATCAGGGTGCTTGTATCACAGTGTGAATGCCAGATTCGTCTGTGTCAATGGTGTTTATCAGGCAGCCTGCTCGTTGTTTTATCACAGGCGACATTTGCGACGTGGAGTATCTGGACGAGTACGTGTACGACTTCACCGAGGCCCACGGTGGTGACACTGACAAAGACGCGATGCCACAGGACTTCACAGAATATGATGTGAAGGTTAGTCTACAGACCTACTGTCTGCGGAAGAGGAACTGACTGGAATGGCAGTTTACCTGCTTTCATCTTATGATGCACTTTGATACCGGGAACTGTTGCCAACAGTATATGCATATCATCTGTGTTGGGCAAATTAGGTGGCATACCATAGTAAGTGATAGAAATGTGATATGGTTTGGTAATAAAACGTGACAAGACATAATGTTCAATTCTCTTTTTCTGAGAAGAGGCTTGAGGTTACACCACACCAAATCAGGATCCGTAGCTTAACAAGCACTCAGTGCAGACTGAATATTCTGACAGTTGTGACTGGGTGATTTTTTGTAAGAGTTTTATGTTTTCTAAAGGTACACTCATCCAGTAATTATAGCTGGCCATATTTATTAATATTTAGAGCTGTCTTGTTTCCATGACGACTTATACTGAATGTGACCACAGGTCAAGTGGTTGACATTTTGTGCGGAACTAGGGTTGGTCTGTTTAGCTTCCTGTAGTCGGACAAGGAGCTTGCTGAGGTGGTCATATTTCATATTTTTATTGCTTCTTTAAGGCCAGGCTATACACATATGTTCATGTAATAGCTGTTGATATATTAGATAATGTTAGCAAAACATGTATAATCACTCGAGAAGTCAATATATATTAGAAAATATTTGGTTTTGTGTAACTTGGGTAGGAGTGTGGGTGTTTTTACAGCACCTTCTTCTGATAATTCCTCACTTCCCACTATCACATGGATCGCCGAGGATACATAACAGCAATGCCTCCAGTCAGTGATGGGATATCGCTGGAATATTGCTGAAGAACTATAACCACCCTCATCACAAGCTCATATATCTATGCTGAGTCAACTACAAAGAAATTCAGACATGAACAGTGACCCGCAGTGTGTTGAAATAAATTTGTTTCTCGTTTTTCATTACTTCCATCTGATCTGAGTCGACACAGTAGCCGGCTACACATGGAGGCTATTGACTACTCAGGCGACTTCGGAGTGTAAATCAGAAGAAGGGCAGTGGCTGTTCGATCAACGATATACCTGAAGCTAAAGTTAAACGTCTTGGCCATATTACCTTGTCTTGTTTTTGCCAACTTAAGCTGAAAGTCTGAATCATATGCATAAAACAACAGATCCGCAAGTAGCGGAGCACAACTCACGTCCTTGGGAACGTCAGCTTCTTGCCTAAATGTTTTATCCTGAAATGTTACACAGGCAACATCATTGAGGAAGTCCAACATACTACACACTATGTTCAGTAAACTTCAGATGGCATTTATTGTCATAAACTGTCCTGAACCTCAGAAGATTGATATGTAAGCATACCTATCCTGACATAGTGGAGTACAAAGTTGAAAATGGAGATATAGATATCAAAATAAAGGGCTGAATATGAGTCACTGTGGTAATATGGAAAATATGCAACCAGATATGTTCAATTAGTAGGGTGGCAAGCACCTCTATGAATACATGACAAATATCTCCATGCAACGAGATAACATCGCTACACGTTAGAGGTAACATATTCCCAATCAACGCATCACAAGCGCATAAAAGATTCAGTAGATACAGAAGCAACACCACAGACAAAACATTATCAGCTTTTAGCCTATCGAACACAAAGTCTGAAACCAAGAGGCCATCTCCTCTACAGTGATGTGATGGCGGGTTGCAAGTTTGGCGAACTCCGTTGTACGACCCTTGGACCATGAAGTCCAGTCTCTCAAGTCGTGGGTTCAAACGGACATCCTACTGTGGGCGTCCAGTACACTCTCCTGGGAGCACTGGACTGGATGTTGCTGCCCCGTTTGCTGTCTGTAAATCAGAAAACCATAAATTTTACCATCGTTCAATTTCCTCCACTACCCGTCGATCGCAATGGTCCAAACTGTTATGTCAATTACTTAAAAACACCGATTGATTGTATCTGTTTACGAGTGTTAACAAATCATCCTAACCAAATGCGGGATACTCCAAAGCTTTGATTCAAAGACTTAGAAAGATTTGCTTTGAGCAAATATTGACATCCTATACTTATTGCGAGCACGACTTCTACCTGGCACCTCATGGATCGAGTGTCTGGGTCGAACTGAAGAGCATATATGTAATCACACGTTTTACCCATTCCTCTCTCACCCCACCTTCTCAGCCAAGTCAGCCTACATTCACATCCTTGTCATCCCCAGAAATGAAGAGACTTAATAATTCCTTACTACTTGTTACCCTTGTAGAATTATTCTTATTCACTAGTGACATACACATTTTATTCAGGGACTATGTGTTGGTCTAGACACGCACCTTGCTCTATGAGGGTCATGTGCAAGTACCTGGCAATGATGGACCCGGTCTCTCTTACGAAGTGTGGATCATATATTTAATAAGAAATATGCCCCATTCCCCTATCATTCCCTCCTCAATTCAACCGGCCTATATTCACACCCTTTACAACACCAGAGAGGCTTCCAAAACACCAATGTCCCTTTATTTAACGTTACATAAAACTTTTGTACGTGTTAGTTTCGACACGCACCTTGCTCCACGACACCCAAGACACTGGGAACCGCCAACCCTGGACTCACGAGGGCTGCTTGTGTTGTTGTTGGTCACGGCAGCCATGGGTCTAACACACCGGGGATTCGGCTCATTCATCAGGCTGTCAGAAAAATTACAGGCCATTATTACACTGAAAATAAGATCACACGTTTGAAACGTTTAATACATAAACAACTCAACAGATAATTCAATGGAAGTAAGATTTACAATACTTCCTGGAGCACACCGGCATTTCGATCATTCTTGTGTACACTGAACCGCCTCATGTTGAGACGACGTTTGGCCTTGGTTTACCAGACAATTCACAGACACAACACATAATTGTAATATATATAATAAAGAGCATGACTAATTATTGAAAACAACATAGGGTGGTATCGATCCTGAAAATATAGGTTTCAAGTGTTGAAATAAACAAAACTAAAATGAGTCAGTCAAACGTAATGCCTGAGAAGCAATTCTTTTAATTCCCTATCATTCCCTCCTCAATTCAACCGGCCTATATTCACACCCTTTACAACACCAGAGAGGCTTCCAAAACACCAATGTCCCTTTATTAAACGTTACATAAAACTTTTGTACGTGTTAGTTTCGACACGCACCTTGCTCCACGACACCCAAGACACTGGGAACCGCCAACCCTGGACTCACGAGGGCTGCTCGTGTTGTTGTTGGTCACGGCAGCCATGGGTCTAACACACCGGGGATTCGGCTCATTCATCAGGCTGTCAGAAAAATTACAGGCCATTATTACACTGAAAATAAGATCACACGTTTGAAACGTTTAATTCATAAACAACTCAACAGATAATTCAATGGAAGTAAGATTTACAATACTTCCTGGAGCACACCGGCATTTCGATCATTCTTGTGTACACTGAACCGCCTCATGTTGAGACGACGTTTGGCCTTGGTTTACCAGACAATTCACAGACACAACACATAATTGTAATATATATAATAAAGAGCATGACTAATTATTGAAAACAACATAGGGTGGTATCGATCCTGAAAATATAGGTTTCAAGTGTTGAAATAAACAAAACTAAAATGAGTCAGTCAAACGTAATGCCTGAGAAGCAATTCTTTTAATTCCCTATCATTCCCTCCTCAATTCAACCGGCCTATATTCACACCCTTTACAACACCAGAGAGGCTTCCAAAACACCAATGTCCCTTTATTTAACGTTACATAAAACTTTTGTACGTGTTAGTTTCGACACGCACCTTGCTCCACGACACCCAAGACACTGGGAACCGCCAACCCTGGACTCACGAGGGCTGCTCGTGTTGTTGTTGGTCACGGCAGCCATGGGTCTAACACACCGGGGATTCGGCTCATTCATCAGGCTGTCAGAAAAATTACAGGCCATTATTACACTGAAAATAAGATCACACGTTTGAAACGTTTAATTCATAAACAACTCAACAGATAATTCAATGGAAGTAAGATTTACAATACTTCCTGGAGCACACCGGCATTTCGATCATTCTTGTGTACACTGAACCGCCTCATGTTGAGACGACGTTTGGCCTTGGTTTACCAGACAATTCACAGACACAACACATAATTGTAATATATATAATAAAGAGCATGACTAATTATTGAAAACAACATAGGGTGGTATCGATCCTGAAAATATAGGTTTCAAGTGTTGAAATAAACAAAACTAAAATGAGTCAGTCAAACGTAATGCCTGAGAAGCAATTCTTTTAATTCCTATCATTCCCTCCTCAATTCAACCGGCCTATATTCACACCCTTTACAACACCAGAGAGGCTTCCAAAACACCAATGTCCCTTTATTTAACGTTACATAAAACTTTTGTACGTGTTAGTTTCGACACGCACCTTGCTCCACGACACCCAAGACACTGGGAACCGCCAACCCTGGACTCACGAGGGCTGCTCGTGTTGTTGTTGGTCACGGCAGCCATGGGTCCTAACACATCGGGGATTCGGCTCATTCATCAGGCTGTCAGAAAAATTACAGGCCATATTACACTGGAAATAAGATCACACGTTTGAAACGTTTAATTCATAAACAACTCAACAGATAATTCAATGGAAGTAAGATTTACAATACTTCCTGGAGCACACCGGCATTTCGATCATTCTTGTGTACACTGAACCGCCTCATGTTGAGACGACGTTTGGCCTTGGTTTACCAGACAATTCACAGACACAACACATAATTGTAATATATATAATAAAGAGCATGACTAATTATTGAAAACAACATAGGGTGGTATCGATCCTGAAAATATAGGTTTCAAGTGTTGAAATAAACAAAACTAAAATGAGTCAGTCAAACGTAATGCCTGAGAAGCAATTCTTTTTAATTCCCTATCATTCCTCCTCAATTCAACCGGCCTATATTCACACCCTTTACAACACCAGAGAGGCTTCCAAAACACCAATGTCCCTTTATTTAACGTTACATAAAACTTTTGTACGTGTTAGTTTCGACACGCACCTTGCTCCACGACACCCAAGACACTGGGAACCGCCAACCCTGGACTCACGAGGGCTTCTCGTGTTGTTGTTGGTCACGGCAGCCATGGGTCTAACACATCGGGGATTCGGCTCATTCATCAGGCTGTCAGAAAAATTACAGGCCATTATTACACTGAAAATAAGATCACACGTTTGAAACGTTTAATTCATAAACAACTCAACAGATAATTCAATGGAAGTAAGATTTAAAATACTTCCTGGAGCACACCGGCATTTCGATCATTCTTGTGTACACTGAACCGCCTCATGTTGAGACGACGTTTGGCCTTGGTTTACCAGACAATTCACAGACACAACACATAATTGTAATATATATAATAAAGAGCATGACTAATTATTGAAAACAACATAGGGTGGTATCGATCCTGAAAATATAGGTTTCAAGTGTTGAAATAAACAAAACTAAAATGAGTCAGTCAAACGTAATGCCTGAGAAGCAATTCTTTTAATTCCCTATCATTCCCTCCTCAATTCAACCGCCCATATTCACACCCTTTACAACACCAGAGAGGCTTCCAAAACACCAATGTCCCTTTATTTAACGTTACATAAAACTTTTGTACGTGTTAGTTTCGACACGCACCTTGCTCCACGACACCCAAGACACTGGGAACCGCCAACCCTGGACTCACGAGGGCTGCTCGTGTTGTTGTTGGTCACGGCAGCCATGGGTCTAACACATCGGGGATTCGGCTCATTCATCAGGCTGTCAGAAAAATTACAGGCCATTATTACACTGAAAATAAGATCACACGTTTGAAACGTTTAATTCATAAACAACTCAACAGATAATTCAATGGAAGTAAGATTTACAATACTTCCTGGAGCACACCGGCATTTCGATCATTCTTGTGTACACTGAACCGCCTCATGTTGAGACGACGTTTGGCCTTGGTTTACCAGACAATTCACAGACACAACACATAATTGTAATATATATAATAAAGAGCATGACTAATTATTGAAAACAACATAGGGTGGTATCGATCCTGAAAATATAGGTTTCAAGTGTTGAAATAAACAAAACTAAAATGAGTCAGTCAAACGTAATGCCTGAGAAGCAATTCTTTTAATTCCCTATCATTCCCTCCTCAATTCAACCGGCCTATATTCACACCCTTTACAACACCAGAGAGGCTTCCAAAACACCAATGTCCCTTTATTTAACGTTACATAAAACTTTTGTACGTGTTAGTTTCGACACGCACCTTGCTCCACGACACCCAAGACACTGGGAACCGCCAACCCTGGACTCACGAGGGCTGCTCGTGTTGTTGTTGGTCACGGCAGCCATGGGTCTAACACATCGGGGATTCGGCTCATTCATCAGGCTGTCAGAAAAATTACAGGCCATTATTACACTGAAAATAAGATCACACGTTTGAAACGTTTAATTCATAAACAACTCAACAGATAATTCAATGGAAGTAAGATTTACAATACTTCCTGGAGCACACCGGCATTTCGATCATTCTTGTGTACACTGAACCGCCTCATGTTGAGACGACGTTTGGCCTTGGTTTACCAGACAATTCACAGACACAACACATAATTGTAATATATATAATAAAGAGCATGACTAATTATTGAAAACAACATAGGGTGGTATCGATCCTGAAAATATAGGTTTCAAGTGTTGAAATAAACAAAACTAAAATGAGTCAGTCAAACGTAATGCCTGAGAAGCAATTCTTTTAATTTCTTAACGTCTTTTTGCTGCACGATTTTGGCTTCCAACAGGATACCAATACTGTGGACGAAGTGCATGTCAAAAATGAACTTCTACTACCTGGTCGGTTGGTTGTATCTACTTCCCCTGATGCATGTGCATGTACAAACACCGGTAAATATGGGTACGCCTTGTTGATATATCAAAATTCCTTTAAGTTTAATGATGGTTTAAGTCTAATGAAAGTGATGAAAACATTTTCAAACCATTAAGATGAATTCTCGAAACATTCATTCTCACTTATGAAGGACATATATTATTAAGCATTTGTTTATGAGCCACAGTCAAATGGGGATGGTACCAGGAGCTGTGGGAAGGCAAATATAACTCAGCCAGCCGATCGCAGCCGTCACACACACATGCGAAGGCAAGTCAAGTATTCACTGATACGAACAGTTACATATGATGACAGTCAATCTAAACAGGGATCAGGATCGGACACAGTTTTGGAGACAGATTCTTCATGTTGGGAATTGTCCTCCAAGGCCACATTCTGTGTGTGCTTGTGAGTAAGTGAGTGTGTGTGTGTGTGCGCGTGCGTGTGTGTTAGAGAATGAGTGCGTGTGCACAAGCAAATAATGTACTAAGAGAGAGAGAGCACAAATACACACACGTTCACGCGCACACACACACACACACACACATAATAATATATTATTATACTAACATTTCTATAGCGCCGATATCGAGTTCAACTGCTCAAAGGCGCTTTGTTATTCCCTCGATCTTTGGATGTCCATCACAACGGCACATCGTATTTTTAATTTCAACTCCATGGGGATCATACAACTCTTGCTGCCTACGATGTATACACATATACTTTCAGAACATAAACCTATAAATAACGTGAAATTCATTTCATTTTGCATTGATAGGAATTATCATATCATGACATTTTCATTACAAATAGTTTGGAGATGAAATCATCTACAAATCAAATATTGAGAGGCAAATACGGAGTTGTGTCCCTTGTGGTGTATTCAAATGAGCCAAGCGTGAGCACGGAAGACATATTGCGTCACCAGCACACCCCGCTCAATGTATTTCTGTTCCTGGTCAGTGAGTTAGACCAGCAGTGACCAAGTCACATGATTATTCCACGTATTATGGACCATACCCTAATAGATCATGTGTAGTTGTGTACAGTACCCGGAAATGTCCCTTGTGGTGTATTATGGTGTAACCAGCCAGTGGAACTCTGACCCATATATTGCGTCGTCAACACACCTGTTTTGTATATTTGTGTTCCTGGTCAGTGTGTTAGACCAGCAGTGACCAAGTCAAGATTATTCCACGTGTTATGGATCATACCCTAATGACTTGGATGTACCCTGTATAGTTGTGTATAGTTCATAGTGAGGAGTGGAGTACCCGGAAATGTCCTAGGATGTAATGGAGGTAGTATACTATTTTTACCAGTAGCGACCATAGTGTATCATGCGTTCTTTGTCTTTCATTAGTAATTACTGTACAATGTTATAGAAATTACGTTTTGCCTACGGTCCTGTCTACAAGTCAGAAACGTTTGCTGTCGCTTGCCTCGTGAAAAATTCAGCCTTCCGCCATATTGCTGCCATGGCGGGTACTCGTTATAGTATATGCTGGAATGTTTCTGTGCAGGTCAGTTGCTATAGAAAAACATTATACCGCACAATTATTCTGCCAAAACAAAAATATCTAACTTCAGTTGAATATGTCTAATTAAGTATTTGTGTGATCAAAACTATGGTGACAATACAATAGATCTAGACCATACAGACACAAAGCGCATGTTTGACACCAAAAGCAAAGCTAAAACAGAACATATTGAAATCTTCGAGTATAATCCTGAGAAAGTTTTACATGAATGAGATAGCATGCTGTACATTGTGTTGTCGTGGTAACCACCACCGAATTACTGGAATTGATTACGGAAATCAACACAGAAGCAAAAACATTGGAAAAAACAATGGAAATTATAATATACTGACATGATATATGTACAAATCCCTCTATATACAGTACAACCAGAAATTATTGTGAATTTAAAGATTGTAATTATTTTATTTTTTTCACTCATTACTCACGTATTAAATCTGAATATTAGCAGAACATAACTCCAGATTCAAAGAGAAGTGAACAGTTAGTATTTTGTCAAGTCACCATGGGCAGCAATGCAGGCTTCAAAGCGGCGGGGCATACCACTGATCAAAGAAAGTCGTGGTCCATGCTGTCCCAATATTGGACCACCTCTTCTTTCATTTCAGCAATATTTTTTAGATTTTTCTTATTGACACATTCCTTCATAAGTCCCAAAACATTTTCTATTGGATTTAGGTCTTGGCTATAGTTTTGCCAATCTAATAATGTCATATTTTGGGTCCGAAACCAGGCCTGTGAATGCTTTTAACGATGTTTGGGGTCTTTGTCCTACTGGAAAATCCAAAAAAGTTCCATAGAACACGTGAGAAGATGGAAGTAAATGTCCCTCGAGAATATCTGTGTACCGCTCACTGTTAATATTCCTTTCAAATACACAGAGGGGCGTTGCCCCTAACACAGATTGCCACCCCACACGTTCAATTTCGGACTGTACTTTTGGCGCTGATACAAAGGTTTTTCAGTTTGTTTGGTCCAGAATTTCAGTGTATTAGGAAACAGTCACACAGAACTTTCATCTGAGAAAATCACATTGTCCCAGTTAAAATTTCTATGCTGTAAGCACCAGTTCAACCTTCGCTCCTTTTGTGCAGGTTTCATGATCGGTGATGGAATTCCTCGACGTTTCTGCCAACCCATTGCATGCAGCTCAGTTCTAAATGTCTCCTATCAATCATATCCAGCCTTAAGTTTTCTAAACTCCTTCGTTTGTTTTTAGAAACAAGAATACCAAGCCGCCTACTGTCACTGACAGTCAATTTTCTGGGCCTACCTGCGCCTCCCTGGTGCTCAATGTCATATCCATTTGCAATATTTTGCAAAACACGCTAAACAGTGGACAAAGGGATGCCTGTTCTACTTGAAACCACTGTAGCTGATATGATGTCCTTGTTATAATACTCTAAAATCAACTTCCTCTTCTCTAAATTATCCATAATGAGGATCACTGAAAATGTCGTCTGCGAGCAAGTAAACAAAGGGGGGATAACTCTTCACAAACTAATGAAAAAGGATTAACGGAGTTGTCTCTCTTGAATGAAACCAAGCACTTAGTATTCCTAAAATTCTCAATAATTTCTGGTCATACTATATTTGAGGTTTAACGGGCTAGTGGAGTAAGGAAATATCCATGTATTGACATTTGTGACAGCTCATGTGATAGTATGTCATACAACGAAGTTAAGAAATTATATTTTATGCGTTAAAGGAGTGCGATTCTTCTCGCAAGTTCTCAGCAAAGGACGGAACGTGTGCTGAGACGGTCTGACAACCTGAGAGGGCATCCCCCCATACACGTGACTGCCTGATCAGGGACAACGGAATTATGCAATTACGTGTCTGAAAGAGTTACATTTGAAACTAATGAAACAAAATGTCACCGATAGTTGTACAAGTTCTTGAATGACGCCTAGAAAAAGGTAAATGGAAAAATATATTTGTGTACAGTATTTTCAGAAATGTATTTTTAGTATTTTAGGAAAGGTTATTTATTATAGGGTGCAAATAAACAAGGTTTGCGTTGAAAAATGTTTACTTTTGTAGAAACTCCGCTAAGCCGTCTCTTGTCCAAAGTGACTTTGTGAAACAAGCTCTAATGGGAGGTACCCGATGCCTGACTAAATTGTTCTATCAAAACATCCGTCGTGACACAAGGTCTTGTTACACATGTCAGATACTTTAAGTTCCTTATAAATCAATCGAATACTTTTTACAAATGCATCATTTTCACTAATAAAGTCTAACGTTGGTACATTCCAACGACGAAAGGCTTGTCGCTGACCTTTGGGGTGGCTCCAAAACGCAAATGGTGCTGCTGATATGTTCACATTGGCTGCTATATATTAAAGACTTTCACATACGTTTACACATACTTTGATCCACTACCGTGTAAGGGCGACAAGGTTTTATAAGTTGGTTAATTGGCTCTAATACTAAGTGTCATTTACTTGTGATCTTGACGTTCGCTATCACAGACGTATTCATCAATAATTTACCTGCACAACTGTCATTGCCACAGTCGACTGTCTAAAACCTTCACGGAAATGTGAGAAAATACATATACATAAATGGTCAAATACTGGAGATTTCTTTTCATAAGCCAACGGACTTACATTTTGGTATTTTGCGCAAAGGCAGAATCTGATCGGGACGACTGGTGTTTTTTATGAGTTGGATCAATACGAGTATCACCGGGGTTGTCACACTTTATTACATATTTACACCCGTTTACACGAGAGTTTCAATGGTCATTTAATACACTTTCATCTTCAAATATGAAGGGAGGAATGCCACTTATTGATTGTTTGTCAGTGTTACAAAGATGCAGAAAATCAATATTTTCCACCATACAATGGTAGCCCGTGTAGGGAGAGTTGTGTACGACTTGTGTCATGTAAAGATGTTTTTTTGATAAGTATTGCTAAGGTTTCTGATAAAGGCTTGTTAAATTAGAAATGCATAAATTTCAGTCAGTATTCTGCACATAAGATTCATATGTTATCTTTAGAAGGGTATATTATGCCTGGACATTGTGCAAAAATGTTGGATAGTTTACAAAAGCAATAATGTATGACCCGTTACTGGTTTACCAGCATCAAATAAAATGTAAAATCATTCTGTAATGTGAGCCATCGCCTTATATACTGAATAACAAATGTCTGTCTGTCTGTCTGTCTGTCTGCCTGCCTGCCTGCCTGTCTAAAGTTATCCATTGTCAAGAGGCTAAGAAAATATTTTCTTAATAGCTGGTCAAAACTCGATTATTTATTATTCCTAATATGAAGGGATCTTATAGCGGCAATATAAGTAGGGTAGGTAGGTCTAATACATACTCAACAGTGTGACTTGTGTATCTGTTACACACATGTATTCACACCATGCCGTAAAAAGCAACATTTGACAACTCTTCTGAAGATGAAATTTATTCTTCTGGGACAGAAATCATCTCAAATATTCACAAAGTTCTCAATACCTAAGCAGAAACAGGGAATATGTAAATCCACATTGCAATTACAATTCACAACATGAAGACAGTAACAACGCAACGACAACAATTAGAATAACTGTTTTAAACAATTTTTATATGTAAGTAAAATGTAACTTACTATGACTTTTTGTTCGTTTCGGTAAAATATCCTGTTAATACACCTGACTCCTATAAGTGCCAACTGGCGAAGGCCACGTCCAAAGCATCTAAGCAGGATCTACACACGATCACTGTGTCAAGTGACCTTGAATAACTGAGGTAGTCTGTCTCAGTCCCTGAACCACATTAATTTCCCTACTGCCAAGCCCTCTCTGCTGTGCTAAAGCCCTAAATAAAGCAAGTCTAGATTTCATCAGTTTACCGGATGAGTGTAAACAAACGAAAGCTACCGAGAATTCTCTCGCGATTCTTTTGGAGGGCTACGGTGGATTGATGGTTGTTCATGGATATGCATGCAGGAAATGTCATGACAGGTAAGCTGACAATAACGTACTTTTGATAGAAAATGTATTGACCTTTGTAGATTACTGATAAGTGTCACATTGTTATCGCACGCTGATGTTTGTATAGAAGTGTATGTGACACAATCAGCTGGACCGGGGATTTAGCTATTTTTAGACATGGAAAACCCCGAAACCGTAAATCGGTGTCTCTGGCAGTGAAAGTAAACTTTGGCTCAGTATTATTCGTTACAGTACTCAGTTTAAGCAGTGTAACGAATAATACTGAGCCTAAGTTTATTTATACTGGTGTCTCTGGTCTCTTTCTTTGTATCCAATTGACATTTCGATACTGGCAAACAGGGATTTCGACAAAATAACACTCCAAAACATATCCAACATGAAAACACCGTTACAGTCACCCTTGTGAAAAAATAATTTATAATTTATTTTTTGTGCACTTGTATGTATTTAGCTATGTGGATAAATCATACTTGTTGGAAAAACCACAACAGGATTCTGAATATCAAACACTTTAAGGAAAGTTTTCATGAAATTCTAATATTCTAATACATGATGATGTTTATAATGCATGCTCATATTTCATGTAATGAGTCTCAATCGTACTAACTCTCACACCCTTATAACAAATATTTGAATGCATATACATGTATTATCACATGTATCGTTCATGTTCAGAGTGAAGAGGATTCACACATCAACGAAAGACTTCTGGGACATGTGTCAAGAATCAAGCAAATCAACTAAAACAAAACGGTGAGCCCCTCAGTGTGTTCAAACATCAATAAAGGGATATATTAGAAGTTGTTTGGATAGGAAGTTGTAGAAATTGTAATGTTAAAATCAGATCAGTTTTAAACCTACCTTGGAACCCAGAAGTTTCTGGATTTGGAGCAGAATCTTTTAGGTTGATATTAACCAAATCATTAAAATCAATTCTGAAAGTAAGATTTATAGAATTTAAAATATAATTAAACAATGGATAAAAAGAACTGTAACTCCCATAGGAAAAATTGCTACTATCAAATGTTGCTTAACTTCACCTGAATTATGACCTGAGCTCTATGCACAGTAACACACACAGTCATAATCGGAATGATATTTTCATAAAACCCTATAAAACCACTCATGATACTAAGATGGGTGCAATTCAGGCTGCTTTACAGAATCTTTCCATTCAATACATACCTGAATAAAATGCACGTTGTTGAGACTAATCTTTGTACATTCTGTGGGGCTGAGTCTGAATGCATATTTAACCTATTATTTGCAGTTGGTTTGAACAGTGCCAATTCCTATAATAAGATTATTTGACCTCAGCGGTGTAAGCAGTTAATCAATCATGCACAACCTACAATTTTTAATCATTATAGCTATGAAATAACATGTCATCGCGTGGAATCACAGTATAATTATATCCATGTTCTTGTTTACAGATGTGCATCCTCACCCCTGACTCCTTCAGTGTCCAATGAACCCATGATTTCTAACCACAGAAAAGTACAGAGACGACTAATTATGTCTGCTGAGGAACATACTTCATCCTCAGGGGCTTCTGATCCCGATAACGTGGCACTCATTGATGAAGTAGGCTATGAGTGTAATGTGAGCACAACAAAGCGTGATCATCATGATCATACATACTTCAAAGATCCAGATAACTCTGAAACAGCTGGGAAGAATTGCAAGATTACTACCAAGAACACATCACCCAATATGTCCAGAACTTTAGGCTCCAGTCGGTTGCTTGCCAATTCTCTTATAAACTGTGATGCCTCCTTGAGACAGAGTTTGACTTGTTCTGATATCTATCTTTTGACATAAGCTATCAATTCCTTCTCAGTTTTCTCTGCTGCTGAAGCAATCATGAAGATTCCACATTTGAAATCTGCTGTAGAAAAACATTTTCTTCAAAAAGTAGACCATAGTGTTTCAGAGTTGAACCGCAGGAATGTTGAACATGGCTATGTGTCTGAACTTATGGCCAAAGACTATAAGAATCTTACTGATTTCAAATGGCAAACTGTTGTGGAAGAAATTGCTGTCAAAGTTCCTGAATTGCTGAATATGATGATTACAGTCTGTGTTGGACATGGTGGTGTAACCCCGGAGAAGTTGGAAACAATGTTGCCAAGAATAGGAATGGCTTACAGTATCCTAGTACAGGCTTGGCATCATGAACTGAGCAGGGTGCAGAGGATCATGACAATGTGCCTTCATGACAGTACCTGCGAACAAAAGGTAAATTATATATTTTTTCAATCAAGATGATAACAGAAAAAGCTTTTGTGTGCTGATAAAAAAGGAAATAGGTCTCTCGGAATAGACCTCTTGATAATTTGCTTCATATGTGCAAATCAATGTAAACTGAGGGAAACAAATAAGGGATAAAATGAAAGCACAAGTGTTCCTATAATTTTTTCCATCTTTATTCAAAAGTTATGCAATACAAGGCTTGTGAAGATACCTTGAAAAAAAATAAAGGATCACTTGTGCTTTCATGCAATCCAATTTTGTTTTACTTCAGTATATGTCATGCGAATGTATGCATAAATTTACAGAATCCAATTCCTTATTTTCAGGTCTTTGACCGGCTACAGCAAATTGGCGTGTCTCTCAGTTATGGCAGGAGCCTTTTTCTGTTGAATGAAGTTGGAGGACATTTTAATGACCGGGTCATACAGGCTGTCAGTGAGGGACGCAGGTTTCGCATCATTGGCGACAATTTAAATTTTCATGTTGATGTTCAGGACATGAGAAAAGACAGGCAGAGCAGTAATCATCACATGTTTGCCTCGGCTATCATTTTACAGACACAGGTTGACACTTCCATGCTGCAAAATGTCCCGCAGAAGAGCATTGACAATCTTCTAGTGAATGATGTCCTTATCTCAAACACAGAGCTTGATGTTGTGAAAGATGAATACATTAAATTAGTGTGTGACATTGCCAGTGAGCACATACCTTCTCTAGCATTCATGGGGAAGTGTGTTCCATCGTTCTTACTTGACCCTCACAGTGAGCAGTTAAAAAGAAAGAATGAAGTCATTGCCTGGCCAGTTTTGCCTTATAATGAGCAGTCCTATGCTGATGATGTCAAGATTCTTGCTTACTATGAAGACACCATTCAAGAAATTTACACTTCTGCTGGGCTTCCAGTAGATAGTAGTGTGAACGTTCATATTGGTGGGGATCAACTGACAAGAGAACGCTTCAGTCATGCAAAACGTTTCAGGATTGGCAATTTACTTGCACATGAACGATTTGACCATCTTGGTCCTACCTCATTCGAGCTATTTCATCTGGACATGAACTTCCTTGAAAAGATTGCTTTCAGGTATCTATACAATGAAGGCTCCTCAAATGAATTGGGAACAATGAAGTCTGAGCAGCAGCGTATTTTACGCAAAAATGTTGATCCAGATGTTCGCAAGGCATATGATGCTGATCAAGCCTACTTCATCTCCTTTGTCAAGAGCTACATTGTAGCCCTCTTGCTCAGTTTCTTTGGCATGGACACTTCAGATGGAACACCAACAAAAAATGTACCACCGCCATTTGCAAATGAAAGTGAGAGGAAGGCCTGGGTTAGGAATACAGTGGGTGACCTCGTAGAGGAACATGTACTAGCTACATGGCGTGGCAAATTATGTAAACAACAGGTTAATGTGGGAAGGAGAGACATCATCCAACTTGTGCCAGTAACCTTGAAAAATGGCACTCAAAAGAATCTCCCAGTGTATAGTCCAGAGGTAACATTTATGCCACCACAAGAAGATTATGTTATGAATTACAGTAGTCTTGTCATTGATCTGGGACTCCTGTATCTGAATTTTCGTGATGCGTGTCATCTTCCAAATCGTGACCGCATGATGAGAATATTTAAAATGTTCTTACCAATCTTCAAAGGGACCAACAATCAATCAAAATATGCTCTGGAACTGCTCCGATTCTTGATTCAGCATACTTCCATACTGAGCGAATGTGAATCACACAGAGTTTTCTATGGCCTGTTTGTGAACAACCAAGGACACATTAACACTCATATCAGAGCAGACCAGCAAATGGAGTACATAGTGAAGAAGCAGAAAAAGCTAATCAAACACTGTTACTCCAACAAGACTAATAAAAATATCGTGCGACACACTGCTGCTGTCCATGGTGTGTCCACAATTGGAGAAAGCTTTGATGCCGCCACCAAAGTTATCAGGCGTGCCAAAGCTCATCCCGAACTTTCAGCATTGATGGATGAAATATCCATGGTATCTGACATTATAAGCATTAAACCATGGAGTCATTCTGCAAACAGGAAATTTGAACATTTTCCCAGAATTCAGAGAACACTTGTTGACAAAATAGATCCTGCTGCCTTCCGGAAATGGTTTTCCGAAAAGAAAATGTATTTCTTCCATGAGGTTGGGAAGTAATACATAGTAGTTCAGATGTATCTGATTTACTGCTATTCACATGACACTGTTTCAAGTTTGCTTGATTGTTGACTGTTGTTGCCTCATATAAGCTATAACTGTATACTCCTTGACAACATTTACCTCTAGGGCTGTTACTATTCAGTCGGGACTATTCAGATCGTTGAACTGTCTCCCTTCATGAATTCAGTTCGCTATTTGCAATCACTAAGGTTGAAATGTTCATGAAACGTTTTAGGAGTGTTTTAACTTGAATTTGTGTTTGATTTATCAAAGTGAGATATGGAAAATGGAATATATCCAACCAAGCAGAATGACTATCAACACTCATATCTTTTATTTCATATTCCACACTGTTCCAACTTCTAAATGCCTCTAAAAGAAGCACTGTGTCAACATGGACAAAACACATCAAAGAATATACTTTGTTATTATTTCACTGAATACTATAAATAATACATCAACTGATGACTTGTTATTGGATTCATGGCTCAATACCTGTGGCATGTATCATATTTTCTTCATAGATTTGGTGCAGCCCTAGTTATCTCCCCTTGTCTATAATTAACTGATCTTATAAATACTCTTTTTATAAGATGACCGCTTGTTAACCTTAACCATCTCAGTTTTGTGTACTGTCATCAAAACTATTGTATCTTTATTGTATATTGTATACAATCCATATTGCATATTCATGGGGAATGATAATGTTGAACCACATATTTGAGAAGACATGCAATATTGTCCAAATAGGCAAGATCAATGTCTTTGAACTCTGACTTAAGAATGTCCACATTGCTAAATCTGTTATAGTCAGCTGATATTTTGGAGGCCAGTTTCTTATCAAGCCCTGTTTGCAACTTTGAAAACGGTACATCAGCAACTTGATTTTCAGCTTCAAAATAATCAGTTAACAACTGTGAAGCCATTTTAACCCAGCTTTCCTGGGTGCAGGAATTTGCTCATTGCTCTCCTGAGTCGAGAGATGGAAGTCAGTTTCGAATACTTTGTGTATAATACATTCAGCACACTGACATGTTTTTGAGCAATTGTCACAACAACGATGACCTGGTTCTGGTTGGACACATTCAAATTCAAAATAATTCATCAAGGTCTGTCTTCTGCATTTGCTAGTGGTGCAGAAATCTTTCATTTCCTTTGAGAGATGTTTGACATTTGAAGCTATGTCTGATTTGTTCATGTACATTATTGCCTCTGCATGTTCACCATCACGCCCAGCTCGACCAGTTTCTTGCAAGTAAGCTGCAAACCAAAATATCATTATCATTCTGTGCAAAAAACCTAAGAGTAATACTGTCCTATTTTTTAATTGGTGTCTGAACAATTCCTGTTATTGTATTCTACTTTATGATTGCTTTGTTCCATCACCCAACTAAGCACTCAGTAAATATACTGAACAAGCCTTTCGCAACATGGCAATGACTAAAACTAATCTGAAAATGGCTTCATTGTGATAATGTAAAAAATATGGAGAGATTGTGAGTTTGTTTCATATTAAGCATGCAAATGTGTGTTCATTTTCAGTACCCAATTGGTGAACCAGATATATAGTCTTCTAATTTATTGATTTAATTATTTCCATTTTGCTTACTTTCTAGCGTTGAAGGTGGTCCAATGTGAATAACCCTTCTTATATCAGGTGCATCAGTGCCCATGCTGTATGCCTCAGTGGCTAAAAGTAGCCTTACATGGCTATTGGGAGACTTGAATATACAAGACAGTTCTTGTTTCAGCTGAAAACAAAGGACTAATTATTTACAGAGAAGCAAGGCTTGCTTTCCAAAACAAAGTAAAAATTGACACTTAATCATAAATTCTAAAATGTTAATGTATTTTGACATGAAAACATGTGTCTTCAAAAGAGCTATTAATTATCCATAATTGGTTCATTTCAGGACAATACTGGGAAATTATAAATATATTAGTAGCAGAGGTAAATTATTGATAAATACTACTTAAACCGCTTACTGCATCAACTTGCGGTGCATGATACTGTCCAAGCCTGGCAGTGTATTGACTATTAGAAGTGTAACAGTGGAGTTCTTCGTCGCCCATTATTTGAAATGCCAATTCATGGCCATATCCACACCATTTCAGCTTGCTGAAGAGAACTGTTTTGGGGAAGGATCTTCCTTTCTCCTGTAAAAATATACTTGTTTCTTAAAATGCCTCTCACCTAGTATTTTGTGAAGAATTTTTAAACTTTACGCAAACAAAATTCAATTCAGGACAAATTAATGTGTATTTGCCAGATTTACAGATATCATTACAAAATTCTGCAGATACATTTTTCACTTATCAGTTACTGTTTCATTTTTCTGCTGAATAATGTTATTAATAATGCAATCAGTCCTGTATGAAGACCATGTACATGTACACATTTTTGATTATCTAGGTACTTATCATTAATATTTACCAAATTTTTCACTTTGTATCAAAGATGGTGTTATGTCATTAGTGCAGTACAGTTAATTGGTTGCTGCTTGCATCTTAGTCCTGATGATATAACTAAGATATGTATTGTTTCATCTGAAGATAGTAATGACATATGTGATTAAAAAGAGAACATGATTAAAACGGTATTATTTATTGTGTGCATTAATGATAATATATAAGAGATGTATTTTGTCAGTCAGCAAAGTTTACTGCTGTCATTTTAGAAATGAGATCTGTATGTGATTGGTGTAATAATAGAATTCACATATTTGCCATGATTATGAAATGTGATTATTAACTGCTATCTAACTGCTAAGTGAAATGTTATTCTGCATTTGCTGTAAAGACATTAACACATCATTTGCTGTGGTATGATATAAATTCTGTACCTTTAATTCCATTAATATTGGCCTCAATACCTCTCCATAAGCATCTTCTGATGTTTTGTTTACAGAATTATGGGAGGATCTCTTATTCACTGAATAAAACAGGTTTGGGCGATCACATGATGCTGATACTAAGTAGTAATTAGCACAAAACCTGAGGTGTTTTGCTATGCATTTTTGTGTTGTTTTTGTAGCTGTTGCAGTCATTGCAACAACTTTTGCGTTCGGTAGAATTGCCCTTAGCGTGTCAAGACGCTGATAATCTGTGCGGAAACTGTTGCCCCACGTATCGATGCAGTGAGCCTCATCAACAATGATGTGAGATATCTTCCTCTGATACTTATTTTTTTCAGATCACAGAGAAACACCTTCTGTAATAACTGCTCAGGGTGTCCACGAATATATGTGGGCATGTTGGAGCTTTTGTCTCCCATGTGGTCTGGCAAAATGTGCATGCACCTTTCAGCGTAAAATTTCACTTTTTCGTTGATGATTGCATTCAAGGGACTCACGACGAGAATTGATGTTAGATAATCTTGCAAGTGACATTTGCATATAGCAGTGCACGTACACGCTGCCTGACAACGTCTGACTCCAATATAATAAGGAATTAGTTCGTAAGCCAGGCTCTTTCCGAACCCAGTGGGCAGAACGGTCATTACGTCACCAATTTCTGAGGCGTACACAATGTCAATTTGTTGTTTTTTCAAACAAAACACAGGAGTTTCTAAATCTACGGAGAAACGAAATAAGGCACATTTTAGGGCATTAACTCTACCCAGCTTGTCTCCAATGTTCATCGTGATTTCAATAAAGCTGTGATCACTTGGGTATGTAAATGAAATAAAAAATACTACGGCGTTTTTAGTAACTCGATCTAAACGTAAACACAGCTAGCAGACGAAGCGTAGGGAGTCTAAAAATAACAACCAATAGAAACGTACGTAACAAAGTCATCATGACAGTCGTTCACAGCCATCGTCTCTTTGGCCTATACCGGCTCGTATATTGCGATATGCGAGACGGGGCCCAGCTTAGCATACCGCGAGATACGAACGTCAGCGCCAGCCTTATAACCTGGGTCTGTTGCGCCTGCGCTAACGCTCCGACACTGACCCAGGCAACCACTGCCGAATGGCGGCCTTCACTGCAGGGAGACGCGCCATGCATTTACTATAGAAAAATCAGAGAAAGGGGGGTTAGAATTTTTTCATAGCATTTTCATCGATACTATGGCAAAGTATACATCACCAGAACAACACCCATCGTTACTTTCAGTGTACGAACACGTTATTTAAGCAGTTTCGAGGCACACAAATCGTTGTAGCATTGGTGATATATGTAAACAATGACACACACCCCATATCCATCATTGATTCATTGATATTTCGTGTCAGCTCGCTATTGCCACGAAATTGTACACATAAAACATGGAACTGAACGACCACACTGATTGAATATAGTTAGCATCATTATTTTAGAAAGTTTGATGACGAAAATATCGCCGATTATGTCCCGTGTCTTCCATCGTTTCAGGGTAGGTTTAGCGGATATATTTTTCGATCGCCTTGTGAAATTACAAGGTAAAGCGTTTAGATCATATGGATGATGTTAATGACAGGGTTTGTCATTCTGATATTTAGCCTCTACAAAACCACATGAAACAGTTCACATATATACCAATATCATTCAGAAATGTTTATGATTATAATAAACATGGTGAATCAAATGATCTATATACAAAAATGCACACTCATATAAAAACAATGAATTTGATACTTTATATTATTAAACTGAATATATATAAATACATGGTATGATCAGTATGTTAATACATTGGTATAACATATATGTGGAGAAGAACTTTCTAGACAGATGAACATTCCACTATTGTTGAATTAAGGGTGATTTTTAACCCAAAAAAATGTAATGAGAACTGTAGTTTTTATGGCTTTAAGCCAGTATGAGAGTATACATTTGCTGTACATTGATTATTTTGAGCATGATAACCGTGGTGTTATTAGAATAGATCTGATACAAGTCATCTGATATCAGCAATTATTCATTCGGATGTCAGATAACTAGTTTGGGTAAATGCTGCTATGGACTCTTTGCTTTACTTTATTATACTTTACAGCAGTGGATGCATACATAATTCAACACACCATCAGTGATTTTGTTTTGAATTTTGGGTAATTTGCTCTGTACTTGTTGACCAGTTCACTATTGTGATGATATTTTTTTTAAATCAAAAGTTTATGGTGTGTATCTTGAAATTGTGTCTTTATATAGATATTGGGTATTGTGTTAACACCTAAACTTATTTGGACTAAAGCACTAACTACTCTTGGTGCAAAGAGTAAGAAGGCTGTTATGGCATTGTACAGATGTCAAAAGAAAGTTGAAAATAAACCATATCAAGATTGATTATGATATTTAATGCTATGAGTTTTCCTACAGTGTGTAATGGTGCAGAAGTATAGGGGACCTCATACTGTAAAATTATTGAAGATGTATAGCATAAAATGTGTAAACAGTTTCTCAAAACAGCAAACAGTGTTATGGTATGGGGGAGAATGTTGCAGAATCCCTCTCCAACTTGTGCACACCACAAGCCCTATATGGTATTGGTGCAGGCTACTGTATTTGGATGAACGCAAACTGCCTCGCCTGTACTCCATATCCCTGTACACCTAAGACTATCCATGGCTCTTTTCAGATGTAGTAGGTTTAAACTGCCAGTCGATTTTGGAAGATACACAAATGTCCCATACACTGAATGACTGTAAATACATGTAGTGTACATTAAGGGGAAGATCTTTTGTTGAAGATGAGTTTCATATGCATGTATTGCTGGTATGTGAGCATTACTCAGCCATAAGAATTAGGTATGTATCTTAAACAATTATATGTACAGTCCAACACTGTAACATTTTTATCGGATCGATGCTCATGCTGTTGATATCTGGATTGCCTGGTCCAAACTCGATTATTTAGAAACCGCTGCCATATAGCTGGAATACAGCCGAGTGCAGCCTTAAACAACAAACCAACCAACATTTTTTATCGAAATTCTTTCATCTGAAAACTTCAGCAGACAGACAGGACAACTTTGATGTTATATATAACTCATGTCTATATTTATATTAAACAGCTAATGGAATTGTAATAGATTGCTTCATTGGCATGCGTGTATCATGCAATCAAAGATGGTCTGTATTAAACTGTCTGTTTGTTGTGACTGTAATACCAACAGGTTTCAAAACTGAATGTACCCCATTCCCCACCCCTCTCCAACACCAGATATAGCTACAGTGTTTTTATGTAATAGGAAATGGACACATTATGAAAATTTAATAACTGTTTTTTACTAAACATGTCTTTAACGAACATGAGCCCCATATGGGAGTACTGTGTATCAGTGTGTTTTAGACAATGCGCACTTTCCTTTTTATGAGTCGGCTCTTTCAAAACAAGCTAAAACACACACAGTTATGAATATTTCATAATGTGTCCGTTTTCCTATTATATACAAAACTGTAGCTATGTATGGGGTATGGAATGGGGTACATTCAATGTTATATATATAAAGGTCCGATGTGTAATCAACTTCCCAGTAGATTCACGCAGATGTTGCCATACTATGACTATTGTTAAACTTTTTAAGATTAGTGCCTTTTGCATCAGCTTGATCTGCCCAATGCAAAATGGAAGAAAAGATATGGATGTTATATTGAAATTATATATGCCAAATGAATACAAATAATAAATAGGCCATATTCTTCTAATATTATTCCATTTTTGAAAGCACATACATTGTTAAAAAACATTGTTGAATTAATCATTTATGTTTCAAATTTTTTAGAAATAATAATTATTAATTATATAATGTGGTAACAACCATTTTCTAGTTACTATTACTAGGCGTTCAGTATATTTCCAACACAAAAAACAGGAGAAATGGGGGCCAAATAATCGAATTACACGTCATCACATTTGCAAAATAAAGATGCTAACTATATTCAATCAGTGTGGTCGTTCAGATCCGTGTTTTATGTGTACGATTTCGTGGCAATAGCGAGCTGGCACAAAATATCAAAGCACGTGTCGGTGATGAAAATAGGATGTGTGTCATTGTTTACATATCGCCCATGTAACGACGATTTTCGAAACTGCTTAAATAACGTGTTCGTACACTGAAAGTAACGATGGGTGTTGTTCTGGTGATGTATACTTTGCCATAGTATCGATGAAAATGCTATGAAAAAATTCTAACCCCCCTTTCTCTGATTTTTCTATAGTAAATGTACGGCGCGTCTCCCTGCAGTGAAGGCCGCCATTCGGCAGTGGTTGCCTGGGTCAGTGTCGGGGCGTTAGCGCAGGCGCAACAGACCCAGGGAACCAGTGTCGGAGTGTTAGCGCAGGCGCAACAGACCCAGGGAACCAGGCTGCGTTAGCGCGCTCAAAGCTAGGGAGCCGGGAACCAGCACACTCCGGCACAGCGATGACTAACATAACCAGGTTAAGGTCTTATAAGTGCGAGGCGCAACTTCCGGTTCTAGCGAATATACTCAAGAATCAGTTCTGGTGCCAAATAGCGCAACCACCAAATATCACCTTACTAGACCGGACCAAGTGTACTACCACATTTCTTTAGCTATAAAATATTTTTGACAACCAGTGCAGTTCTATCGCTAAACGTGTTTCCTTTCAGTATCGCGGACAGTCACAGTGTTTGTCAGAAAATATATTTCGGGAATCAATGACATGGTTAACGTAAAATGTATTTGAGTAAACTTTTTTATTGAATTGATAAAACTATTAATTAATAAACTGCTATTCACAAAAGAGTCATGCGTTACCAACTGTATCGAGTTGATGTTCTATTCATATTTGGCCACATTGACTGTCATTTCCATTTTCAATTAAAGTATGTAATTTCCAAATTAGAATAGTTTTGTTTGTTTAATTTGTTATTTATTTTCTAAATACATTTGTTATGCTGCAGCAATATTTTCAGTAACCATTTCAAATTAAAAACTATTTTTACATTATCAATATTTATATTTGTTAGGAACTATTTAATATATATAATCAATGGAGACAACTGGCTTTATCCCAATGTAACATGCATGTGTAAACTAGTTGGTAGGCTTACTATAATTATTATAATTTTACTCTCTTCCAAGTCCAAGGGATGACTGTATGCAAGTGCAGGTGACAGAATGACTCAAAGATACAAGAAATAAATTGTTTGATGCTCTGCAAATGTGAAAGAAAATGCATTATTAATTTTACTTTGGATAGATGACAGGTATCTGCATGTGTCAAATTGGTTCTTTGCC